AAAGACATCAAATTTCAATATGAAAATTTTGAAAATAGGACAAATCACATGAATGTAGTCTTTAAGTGTCTTGCACCATAGAAGAATATCACATTTGGTTAATTGTAAAAATTTTTAACAAGCTATTAATTTCAAGAGTTTTATAACAAAAAAAATATCTTTATTATTATCTAATCTAAACTAAACTAAAATTTAAAGACGTATTGTATTAAAATACTAACTTTTTTTTATACAATGATAAAAATCTGTTCGGCTCAATTATAGTATAGCTTGCCCTATCCTAAAATTTAGGGTATATACCCTAAAAATAGTGTATATACCCCAAAAAATAGAGTGCATACCCTATAAGATCCTTAATGAAAAAAGCAAGGTTCAATATACAATTTTTTGAAATGATGATTTGTATAATAGATCAAATCGTACAAAAGGTTACTTTAAAAGCACAAAATGTCTTGGATATTGTTTAAAAAAATAGTGTCGCAAATGTGGTTTTTTATTAAAAAATAAAGTATTTAACAAAAAAAATCGTAAATATCAAGAGTTACTTGCTCAAATTGATTGTGCTATAATTATAAATTTAAAAGGAGAGTTAACTAGTTCAATTCATTATAAATATAGTCAAGTTTCTAATTTTAATAAGTAGGCAATTATTCTTTTAAAAAACTTGACATACTTATAAAAAATCAAGAAAATCGTTCCAAAAAATATCATTCTGATAATCTTAACAAGCTACTTAAATATTACAAAAAAGAAATCTTTGATTCTAAATATCAACAGTTAGTTAAAAAATATCCAGCATTAGAAGATCTTTTAGAAGCAATAGAAGAATATGGAATTGAAGATTAGATAGCAAATTGTATTCGATATATGGTAAATAAAACTATGGATGAAAAACAGCCTATTTTTATTAGAATAGCATAATCAATTACAAAGTTATAGATAAAATGGAATGTAATATTACTACAATGCGTGGAATTTAATATAATAAGACTTTTATTGATTTTCTTGTAGTACTTATTTCAATTAGTACTTTTGCTATACGATAGATTATGTTAAACCTTGCAGGACCAACAATAAGATTTTTTTTTTTTTTTCGATATTAAGGTGAGGTCTTGCCTCGTATCTTTATTAGATGTATCAAGTTTTTGCTTTA